TTTGCCTTCTAGAGTGGAGGTGTTTCCCCTAAGATCCCAGCTTTACCTCTGGAGAAAAAGCCAAGGCTGTCTTGTCTGCTGCAGCACCGTTTTGTTTAGGTAACAGGCAGCCCCGTGATTCTTCTCACCAACTTCTCCGAGGATGCCACCTTTTAGCTATATGCACGTAGATTTCTTACCCTCCCCTACTCAAGCTAGGGCCACTACAGGTTCAGCACTTTCTTCTCTGCCTCCCTCTCTTCCCCTAACCCCCAAGTTCTTACCCAAATGCCAGCAGCTGGGACCAGTCTCTGGGGCAGAGGAGAAATAATGTGGGAATTAGGGGTAGGGCGGAGCTCATGTATCAGTCTAGGAACAGGCATAAAAGCAATGCCCTTGTTATGACAAAGATGATAGTGGGAAATAATTTCTTATCCGTCATGGATGGTGGTGTGGGCAGTGACTCAGCATAAGATATTTGTGTTCATATTTTTTGTAGAGATGAATTATTTAATGGAAACCATCAGTGGCTATGTTAAAAGGGCCACAGGGAGGCTGTCCAAGGAAAGCCATACAATAATAATGGGCAATCAACTATATCTGATATGATATAAAATATATATTCTATCCAAAGGACAGTTACAGTGCGTTCACTTTTGAACTGCGTTTGGTTCAGTGTCTCTCATGGGGAGAGAGAGTAGGAGGATTCCATGTGCAACTGTGTTTGGGCTGTCAAGTTATCGTATCTATGTATGTATTTGTTTTCCTTCAGCTTAAAAAAACAAACCCTTGGGTGTTGCAGGAAATATGTGTATTGCATAAAAAAACTATCACTTCTGAAAATATGCAGTTGATGGCATCTGTAAATAAAATTTAATAAGTTCTGGTCAATATTTACTCTCGAGACATGCTCAATAATTCCCAATCAAAAAAGCTCTGCTACTCCTACGACATGCTATGATTCTATGGGCCCTCTTCTCACAGAGCTTTTAAAACAAAACAAACTTCTTGCGTGTTCTCCCTTCCAGTTAAATATTGGAGGAAAGCAGCATATAAATATGAATTTTTTAAGGCAAAAAAGCACAAAGGAAATCAAGAGGAATAAGCCCCGAAACCCTAACTCCAAATCTTAATCAGGCAAGTTGAGCACGTTCAGTCAAGTACAGGATTTTCCATTCCTTTCTTGGAGAAAAGAAGGAAGAGAGGGAAGGAGAAGAGAGAGCTCAGAGGGTACAGTACTTATTCCTAGGAACGTGTAAACATGGAGCTCTTGGAGGCAGTAAGGACTGCTCAGTGTTTTGTCTGCCATTCTTTAGTGCATGACGAGGTGATGGGGAATAGAGTTCCCTATGCACCAGGGTAATGTAACCTGAGGCAAAAAGCAGCAAAAGGGTCTGATTTCCTCCTTTTTGATTGATTGGGGAGCCACTTGCTTGTAGTGCCTCAGTTTCCCTATGCGTCACACAGGGCACTGTGGTAGGAGAAAATTTCTACCTCACCCTAGGGTTGCCATGAGGAAAAACGGGACCCTCAGGTAGATTCCAGCTCTGCTGGGCTTCTGACCTTGAGTTCACAATACAGCCGAGATTTGGGGCAACAAGTTCTGAGAGGACTGAGGGTATTGGCATACGGAAAATCGGGATTGAGTAATTTTCACAAGGGAGGAGGCAGGTGACCCTTTGGGGGTCACAGGCTGAGGGGATCTGTGTTTGAAAGGCTGGCTTTACTGTGACTATTGTCTTGGCCTTGGGATGTAATTGCTATTTGTCGTGTGCCTACGATGTGTCAAGCTCCTTACATAGTTATCTCACTCGGTCTTCACCTACAGCCAATTAGAGAAACATTATCCCATTTTACAGATGAGAAAACTAAGGCCCCAAAGATAATTTGTCCGAAGTAACCCAGTTAAACATAGTGGAAGTGTTAGTTTCCTCACTCGCAAAATGAGGAGAGGAGTTAATACCAGAACTAGAATCTATCGCCCTCTGGTTTGCTATACAGTCGCTTGAGATCGTACATCATGAGCCGGAAGTGAGACCCAGCAAGATGCGCATCCACTGTAAAACGAGTTAAGCTTTTTTCAGCATCTTAGACTCAATTTCTTTTGCAAGACTTGTAGAGCGTGGGCGCGGGCGGCTAGAGGGTGCCTCCTCGCGCCCTGTTCGCAGGCCACGGTCGCCCTCTGCCGACGAAGGGCGGGAGCGCGCTGGGAGGTTTCCACGCCTGAGGCTGGGCGAGGAAGTTTGCTCACCTAGAGAGGGCGCCTGCCAGTGTGTAGAGCAACCCACTCTTGTCGGCCCTTCCTTAAGCATTTCCTGTCTGATCTCTATGATCCATCCGTCTGCGTCATTAGAAGTTGACCGTGTCTAATTTACTGTAAACAAAAGGGATGTGCGTCGACCCGGATGCGGAAGCTGGAGCAGGGCCGGAGTAGCTCCCAGGGCCGGCCGTGCGGAGGCGGTTGGGTGCTGTAGCCATGGCTGTGGCTGTGGCCCTGGCCGGAACCGTAACCGGGGCGGAGCCAGGCCCCGCGGAAGAACTCGCCAAACTCGAGTATTTATCTTTGGTGTCGAAGGTTTGCACCGAGCTGGACAATCATTTGGGAATCAACGACAAGGATCTGGGTGAGTTCGGGGAGGTCTCTAAGGCCTCTGGGCCTGGGGCCGAGGGAAGCGGAAGGAGAAAGGGAGTTGTGTGAGAGAGTCTCTGTCTGTCTGTGAGAGATTAAGGTCCACCGAGCCTGCGGCCGTGGCCTTTGCTTGAGAATAACGATAACAACAACAGCAGTAGCAACGTCTACGATGATGATGATGGTAATGTCTGACATTTATGGGGTGCTCACTGTGCGTCAGATATTATGGTCAGCGCTTTATCTACTTTGTCTTATTTGATCTTCATAGCACCTGGTGAGATAGACAGTATTATTATCTCTGTTTCTAGATTGAGAAACAAAGCTCTGAGAATTTAAGTAATTTCCTCAAGATCTCATATCCTGGTCTGGAAGTGAGGTCTTTTTGAAGTCAGTGTCTGAGGTTTTAGCTGTGCTCTTGACTGTTCGTGCTATTCTACTTCCCAAACACCAGTCATGAGGGGTTTGGGGGCAACCTGTACATCTGGGAAACCAAAAATGAGGAACCAGAAAAGGCCGGGGGCGGGGAGGGGGATACTAAATAGACAATAGATAAGTGATAACTTTGGTGAAGGGTAGGACAGTACACAATACTGGGGAAGCTGGCACAACTCGTACAAGCAAAGTTCATGGAAGCTCCATAGACACATCCAGACTCCCTGAGGGATCGAATTACTGGGTGGAGGGCTGTGGGGACCATGGTCTTGGGGAACTTCCAGCTCAGTGGTCGTAACACAGTTTATAAAGACAATGTTCTACATTCTACCTTGGTGAGTAGCATCTGGGGTCTTAAAATCCTGTGAGCAGCCATCTAAGCTACTCCACTGGTCTCACCCCTTCGGGAGCAAGGGAGAATGAAGAAGACAAGATACAAGGGAAAGATTAGTCCAGAGGACTAATGGACCGCAACTACCACGACCTCCACCAGACTGAGTCCAGTACAACTAGATGGTGCCCAGCTACCACCACTGACTGCTCTGACC